ATGACACACGAAATACTCCAAATCAATTGCCTGGGGCACAGAGTACGCGTCTGGGAGGTCATCATCATCACCAAAGTGTAACCTCAAGTTAGTCACATGCACGGACTTCAGTGTGAATGTGCTCCACCGTGGCATTCATTCATTCATTCATTCATTCATGTTAGTCACACACATGGACTTCAGTGTGAATGTGCTCCACCGTGGCATTCATTCGTTCGTTCATTCATTCATTCATTCATGTTAGTCACATGCACGGACTTCAGTGTGAACCACAGTGGCTTCGTTCATTCATTTATTCATTCATGTCAGTCACATGCACGGACTTCAGTGTGAACATGCTCCACAGTGGCATTCATTCACTCACTCATTATTCATTCATTCATTCATTCATGTTAGTCACATGCACGGACTTTAGTGTGAACGTGCTCACAGTGGCTTCATTCATTCATTCATAAATGTTGAGACTGAAATACAAACAAGGAACTTAGACTTGAACTTGGAGTGACTTAAGACAGAGTCTGAACTCAAGGAACTCACCCTATTAAGGAAAAGAGATGAAAACAGCAAGCTTTCACACATAACACCGTGAACATCTTTGCTATTTTTCTCTGATTAAATATTTACTGAAATAAATCAGCAAATAGGGGCACGTAAGTAAGATAGAGAACAACAATACTGGCAAACACCAGGGCTGAAAAAGTTCCTTTCTGTGGGTCTAAATTTTGCTCTCTGACTCAGCACGTGGCAACTTTATTTACTGGATGCTCATTGGATGAAGCTGGTCTTAAGCCTTGACATGCCCAGGCCCTGTTCTTTTCTCTTTTTTCTTTTGAAAGATAATTCTTTTTACTCAAGACTGAAAAAATTCTAGTCAATGTTGACCACAAATAAGAGGTTTTGGTTTTTGCTCACACAAAAAGTTCTACTTCTGTTCTAAGCTATCTGGTCAACCTGAGTGATCACCTTTCTTTTTTCTTTTCTTCTCTTTTCTGATGGTTCTTTATTTTATTTTATTTTTATAAAAAGAAAACTATCTTTTTTCATAGTACAACCAAATCCAGTTCCCACTTCCTCCCTTCCTCCCATTCCCTCCACACACCATCCCACACCTCCCTTTATCCACTCCTCAGAGAGGGTAAGGCACATTGCTTTGAGGGAAGATCTAAGGCCCTCCCTACTAATCTAGGTTGAGCAAGGTATCCATCCAAAGGGAATGGGGTCCCAAAAAGCCAGTACATGCAGTAGGGATAAATCTTGGGGCCACTATCAGTGGCCTTGCAGTCTGTCCCAGCAATACAACTGTCACCCACATTCAGAGGGTCTAGTTTGGTTCTATGCTGGTTCCTTCCCTGTTTGACTAGAATTGGCGAGTTCCCATTACCTCAGGTAAGATGTTTCAGTGGGTGTCCTCATCATGGTCTTGACCTCTTTGCTCGTATTCTCACTCCTCCTCCTCCCACTCTTGAACTGGCCAGTCCTTGATCTTTAACCTTCTACCCAGGCAAACCCATAGCCAGGTCCTATTCGTCCTTCTTTCCACAGAGAACACATCCACCTCCACTGTTGCTCTAGATCACTAACCTGACGTGATGATGATCCAGACCTTTCTGGACTCCATACTCTCTCAAGAGTACTAAGATCCAATCACAGTTGACATTCATAGACTCTCTGGGCATCTTTCAGTTTCTTTGCCACCTCAGAACCTCTTCATGTGTTAAGTCTCTTCCCTGTATTCCTAAGGAGCCATCTCCAGGGCTCAACTAGGTCAACTTAAAAAGCCATGTGTCTGGAAAGCCCTGTTGAAGACACACATGTGAATGAGCGCTCGCACGTTCTCACGAGTATGCTCTCTTCCCCTGCAGGAATCGTCACATCCTGTGCTTACATTTGCACTTGTATGGTTATCTGACAAAAAGCCATATGTCTAGCTAGGGAGGAAGCTTCATGGGAAGGGAGCAGGTGCCAGGTTTGCACACTACATACTCCTAGCATCTGGCACAGTGCCTGCTGTTATTATATTCTGCGAATACCAAAGCAACTTGACATTGTATTCATTACAGACATGGGAACATAGGCTTGTTAGTTTTGGGGGTGTGTATGGTTTTATTTCAAAATTAGGCAGCAAGTTTATCTGATCACCAAGAGTAAGAACATCTTCGTTGCCACTAAAAATGCTTCTGAACACTTCTACAAGCCAAATTTTGGACAGAATTCTCTGCCCTTCAATCTTTCCATTCTAGCTCAGTCTCTCTGTGACATGAAGAAATTGCAGAGAAGCAGGCTAGATCATCCATAGAGCTCAGCAGCTCAGGTACCAGTCCTCTACCATGGCGACGCGAAGTCAAAACTTAAAGTGGCACTGGGACACTGTCATGTTAGCAGACTTTCAGTTTAGCGCATTTGTTAGCCTGCCTCTCGGGTAGCAAATTCCTCCCATCAAAACCCTGGTTATCAACAGAGCTAAAGTTTTTCCCTCTGAATTGCTACTAAGAAGTTCATGGTGGAAGATCTTCAAAACGAGAAATTTCTCAAATGTTGTGGCTCATCACCAAACCAAGACATCAAAAATGGTAAACAGAACTGTCCTGACTCAGAAGCTGGAGTGACGACCTTCTGTGGGGACTGCAAACATTTGTCCTATCTGATAAGGGGCAGTGGAAGGGGAGTTAGTGACGTCAGGGTAGGCTTTCCACCGCTGTCATTGGTCTGCTCCTTCAGACCATCTCAGTGCTGACGAGTATATTCCAAAAGTCTGGCACAGGCAGCAGACGGCCAACGTGGCAGTGACCCCTGGGTTGGCAAGTGAGTTGCAGCTGCCCATGAAACTTGAAGCCAAATTATATTCTATCTGAGGAACTGATTTAAAGTCATATCTAAAATGGATGTCAGATAAATGAATAAAGGATTTGCATGAAAACCAACCTAATATTATCTTCATGTTAAAGTGCCTCAGTTTCCCCAGTGCGTGCTCCTCACACTTTGATAGCAAGACAAACTGGTTCTCGAACTCTCTGTTTCTCAATGAAATTACCTTCCATGGAAACACTTTGAGGGGCTTGGGAGATGACCCAGTTCATAAAGTACTTGTTGCACAATTCCAATGACCTGAGTTTGATCCCTGAATTAAAAAAGCCAGACATGGTGGAGGGTGTCTGCAATCCAGCACCAAGGAGGCAGAGATAGGAGGGCTCTTGGGACTTAATGGCCAGCCAGTCTAGCAAACACACACACACACACACACACACACACACACACACACACACACGAGTCTGAGGAGCTCTGGGGAAAGAACCCTCCCAGATTTACTTCAGTATTTTAGTATTCCTTCTCTGTCCCATCCTGAGACACAGCTTAGAAATAACATCTAGGAAGAACTGGGACATTTGCAATTAAACAGACCCTATACTGAGACCTTGTCCACAAAGAGTACATGCTTAGCCAGGTGACGGCGGACGGAGGGGGGCACATGTGACTGTAAACCCAACAGAGGATTGTTTTGCGTGTGAGACCAGCTGAGGCTACCGAGTGCATCCTAGGCCAGGGTGAGCTACGCCCTGCCGTAAAAACAAAAGTATGATATGCTTGCTGAGGGTAGGGAGAGAGGACCATTCATACAATTGGAATATGCTTTCTTCCTTCTAGATTGTTTGCAGGTGAAGATGTGGTCATCTTAAGCAGAGAGCTACAGCCGCACTTTAGTCTTTATTTTCCCGTACAATAGCCATCTTATGGATCACATAGCACACATGATCTTGCCAAAAGAAACTCTTGATACCGTATAATTAAATTGTGATATCTAAGACCCTACCACAACTGTGAATACAGTACATTCCCAAACGTCTACATTCCATAACAGATTCAAGGCCACCTCTGGATAGACCTTTGTTTTTCTCCTCCAAAGAAATGATTTTCACTTTTATTAAAACTACGCATATATTAAGAATAACCAATCTCAATAACCCTTGGCACATATTGTAAAACACAGTTGAAGAAACCCTTCACGTTCAACCATCACAACCTTAAATGCTGACATTGGACTTTTTAGGAGGCTACGTACGATGAAGAGAATTCTAGAAATAATTAAATTATAAATTTAGACGGGAGGCTCCTGAGTTATAAAAGAATTGTAATCTTTCTGGAAAACACAGCTAACTTCATTTAACTTGTCAAGAAGGTTCATTGTAAACCATTGCCCAAGAATATGAAATATTTCACATTTGGAATGTTTTCACTGACTTATAAAACACTGCTCGTTTTGCTTTAGTTTTTTTTTTTTTTTTCATGGAAACCACCATTAGCTCCTCTTGATGCTTACTGCACAGATGTGTGAAAAGCTCCTGTCCCTGGCAGTTTTGAGAACAGCTGTTCTCCATCACTGATTCTAGTCCTTCAAAACCTAAAGTTCTATTTATATTTATTCGATTTTACAGGTTCTTCTTATGACTTTACTTTAAAAAAAAAAAAAAAGAAATGTTCTTTGGCTCAGAAAAACCAAAAAAATGTTCTTTGGAAAATGGTCCCTTTGAAAAGATAAGGGAAGACAAGGAGCCTCTTCTTCAGTAGAGAGGGCAGACATCACCCCCACCCTCACTCAGAGGACATTCTTTTTTTTTATTTAATTTGTGGGTTTTATTGAACAGTACCACCTGAACACAGGCTTCTACAACCATGTCCCTCTTGCTAACTTTTATTATAGCTAGTGCCTTGCCGGAAGCCACAGTTGTGAGACTGCTGGCTGGTTTTGTAGTGTTTCCTTTTCCCATTAACCACTCTCCAGTTTTCTGATCAGACCCAAAACCACTTACAGCAAAAGAAAAGTGCAATTGGGATCTGGATAAGTCATTTCCATGTCTGACAATATATCCAACTGACCTTTTAAAAGTTATCCATGTAGTCTTTCCAAACATTTTCATTTGTAACGGCTAAGCAATCAACACAAAGTAAAGAAGAAAGCAGACACTAGTGTCATTCTGCGAGTGTGTATGCAAAACCAACTGTACCTTAATAATTTATCCAGTCCTGTGCAGTCTTCCATGAATTGTTTGGGATGGCAGACCCCTTTCACAGAGGTGACTTATCTGAACTTTTGGAAAGCAGACAATGATTTAAAGTCCGTGGGAGTGAACAACAGAAGCCAATCAACACCAACACCTTCTTGCCCCAACACCTCCCTCAGGCCAGCTTGCGTCAGCTTAAAAGAGAGAGGACTCTAATTTGGTTTGCTGCTGCACACTTGGCATTGGTCACATTGGTCACACCAATTTCTATTTGCTTTCAGAATTTTGGCTTTTATACAACGAAACTCTAATTGGGTGTTTGACTTTGCTGTCACACTGCATTCGAAAATTCTGTTGTGTGGTCAGCGGATAGATCAAGAGGCAGTAATTTTTCAAGTATTATGAACTGACAATGTAAAGCAAACATAATAGACATTAAACAGTCACACTGTAGAATGTCATAGAAGGCACAGATGATACTGGTTACAGGAGCACTATTTCCCTTTGCACTGTTGACCTGCTCAGAGGAAATTTTACAGAGTGGCAGAACCTCCATCAGTCCCAAGTTACTCCAGGTGCCAGGAGGTGGAGTTTGCAGCCCACTCTCAACCACTGCTGCCTCACCGGAGGCCGAGTGCTGAGCAAACCATCTGTGGGATGTTTGCGAACAATTTCTAAATGCATATATTTTCTCTTTAAACGAAAACAAACCTCCTTGTCTCTCCACACACCAGAGGAGGAGTTCAAATGTGTTGGTAAATAATGTATGTTTAGTTAAAATCTACCAGCTGGACATTCTGAACGGGAGATAAGAAAGAAGGGAAGCCAACCCTGACCAGGCTCTTTGCCTTATAAATATTTACGGCTTAAATAAACCCCATACCCAATCTGAAGCAATGATTTGTCTCTACAGTCCATCAATTCCTGTTCCTATAAAAACCAAACATTGTCCTCTGGCTAGGAAATTCCCAAGCTGAGGCAAAACACAAAACATTAGAGGCACGTGGACCCACCTACATCTCTCTTCCTCTCTCGCCTGCTCATTTGGCTTATGAACTGGAAGATGATGCCTTTATTGCTACTGGAACCATGAGTCCTTGACTCCAGAGGTCTCCATTGTTGTTTTTGTTCCTCCCCCACCCCCACCCAAGAAGAGAGCTATTGTAATCCAGGGAGAAAAGAATACATGCATGAACTTCAAAGAAACCCCCAAAACTTCCTTTTCGAATGACTGTTTCCATCGGCTGTGATCTTTCCAATTTAGGGGTTCATCCCATTTGCAAAATTATCAAATTAAGATGAGATAAACCAGCAAAGATTTGTAGTAATTGTTAGAAAATTAAATACTTCTAGCAAAATCCCATTTCCCAGTTGGCCCACTGAGCCAGCATAGATATACTCCAGAGAGGAGAACTTTGCCGTCCAGTGTTCGCAGTAAATTGGGAAGGGAGCTGGTAAACGCATGCATACTTGAAACATTTTACTTCCTTGAACATTTTATGCTTCGGCTTCCTCATCGTTCTTATCCTTAAGTGTAACGAGTAATTAAAGCAGTTAGTATGTTAGGTGAAGACTACAAACGGACTTCCATGGCCTCTTTGATTCCAACCTATTCTACATGGCAAAATTTTAATCACCAAGTTTCTAACACTGACTTAAAATCAAACCTACACCTGGGGAAATGAGCTGGAATGGCCAAGGTTTGTGGTTAGACCATTTGTTTTTCCATAGACCCTTTCTACACATCGAAACGTGGCCAAATTAGTAAAGAAATGGTATGGTCTGGCCTTGACAAAGGGCAGGAAATCTCCCCTTCTGTAAGAAAAACAGAATTGCATATGAAAACTGAATGTCATGGTTATTTCTTATGATCATGTCAGAGTGTAACTTCACATGCATTGGGTGGTAGATTTATGCTGCTTTGATTTTTAAAACATGGCAAAAACGTTCAGTCAGGGTCTACTGTGGTTGAAGTATTATTACAAAGGGAGGCAAAGGATCACAAACCTGGTCTCTTAAAGGTGAAAATGATGGGCAAGCATGGTGGCTCACACCTTTAATCCCAGTATTTGAAAGGCAGAGGCAGGTGGATTTCTGAGTTTGAGGCCAGCCTGGTCTACATAGAAAGTTCTAGGCTAGAGAACAGCCAGGGCTGTTCTTCAACCCTTTTCTTCAAAAATAAAAACGAATAAGGTGAACGTGATATAGCTTTAAGGGTTGCTAAAGGAGCAAATTTGGCTAATGAGGTGACAAGCACTTTAGCTGATTCCCTTTAAAAGAACTCACGAGTTAATGAGCCCACAAATGGGGGCAGACGCTTTGGTCAACACGGGCACACGGTTGGGTCTGAGGGCACACATACTCGCATGAAGGCATCCTTGGCTTCCCCAGGCTCTGTCATAGTTGACGGCAGATTAACTGCACAGTATCCTCTGGGACTCATCAAAGGAAGCGTGCTAGGGGCTAAAGTCATCCAGGAAGTTCTCAGGGAGCTTTGGAGTCTCTGGCTGAGAGGAAAGGCCATCTGAGATTCCAGTGGGCAGAGAGAAGGCAAAAGGCACCCTGAGTGAAAAGGGACAGGTTCTGACAACGTGAGAACCCTTCTGCCGATAGTGGAGCCTTCTGACCAGACAGGAGGATGGACCCAAGTGATCCCCATAGAAGCACACTGAGTCTGGGAACACAGGTGCTTATGATGAGGGAGGGGCCTTGCAATCATCCGAAGAACAAATTGAAGCTGGCAGGGTAGTTCACAGGGAGGTGATGGGCGGAGCTAGGAGTGCGGGCAAGGATGACTGACAGGATGGATTGGCCTGTCTGAGAATGATGGCAGAAAGGAAGGTAAATAGGATTAAAATTGAAGTCAATAAGGATGACTTTTTAAAATTTTTTTTATCACTTTTTCTAGCTCATGATACAGGCTATGAATTTTGTGTAACTTCATTAAGAGAAACCAGAAATTTGAAATCCAGTCTTTTCCTCACAGAGCGAAGGGCTTTTCTTCATGTCTGGCTGTTGTCCTCAGAGAGTGTGTATCCCAAGAGCATGTCATTAACCCTAAGTACAAAACTATCTAGTCAAGCGAGACTTAAAACACATCAGTGTGTTGAATCAGAACTTGCCTTACCCATATTTCCCATATTTAAAACAGTCAAAATATTCTGTCTGAAATGTCAGCTTCAATAATGTTCTCAAAGGGACTTCAGAAAACCAATCAACAATAAAAAACAAAACCCAGAGCAACCCTAGCCTGACCACCTCGGCATTTTTGCCGAGAAAATAACCCTGTTCTCATCTTGACTGTATCCGAATTTCTAATTTTAGTCATGGATCAAAATAATACTTGGAAATGAGTTCTGGCGACAGCTGAATTCGAAGAAGACACACAACCTCAGTGGTGACTAAGAGACCAAGTGGTTTATTTTTTACTAACTTTGTAACATTCACCTGCCATCTTTTACTCCCTCGTGCACACTTGCTCTCCTTGCTCCTACTTCAATGTCTCTTCATGTTATCTGAGCTTTCTGTGTTCTTTTTTCAACATTTCTATGCTATATGTGATGCATTTACTCACTTGTTTGTCTATAGAAATAGAGTTTCAGTATGTTGTCCAGGGTGACCTTGAACTCGTGATCCTCCTGCCCCTACTTCTTAAGTGTTGGCATTATGGGTCTGTACTGGCATACTGACTTACATAACTCCTCTATACCATACTGTATTCATGATGTGCCTGTCTTCAAGAGGAGTTACTCTTTGTCATTGCTAGCCCTTAATGCCATAAACTCAGAAGCTTACGAAGTAGATGCCAAGTTTTCCAGTACGTTCTCAGTGTTTGCCTTATTCCAAGTGCTGGGAAATGACTACCCAGTGTACTAGTGTACCAAGCCTGGACACACACGGAAGCCCTGAACATTCAGCAGGCGACAGCATTTTGAGGCTTTTTCGGAACCCAGTATCTGCCCTGTGCCTTTTGGCTTTCAGACTCAGCATACTGAAGAGAATATTGATCTTTTTTGATGCTACAACTTTGGTACTCCAAAAGAATAAAAGTCATCCTTTGTAAAATATTGGCTCTTACAAAAAGGAAAAAAAATCCACGAAGAAATGCTACAAAAATGTTCCTACAAAATTCAAATCACGGAGCCCCGTGTTGTCCACGCCATGGCAAGATTGAGCTAGGGGCTTCCACATGTGCCCCGCACTCTCCTCACCACTAGCTTGGCAGTGAAGGTGCACGTGTCCTGTGCGGATATCTTCCCGTAGTTCTAAACTCTCTGCCTCAGCTTGCATAGCCATAAAAAATAAATAATAGAAAATAAGTAACAGAAGACAAAACTGAATATTATGTGAAGAGCCACGTGCATCGTGTTAATTGTAAACAGAAAAGGGTTTGTTTCTGTTTGCCTACTTTCCTTTTTGTTCTTTTTCTACTCACTGTTTGAGGTGAGGTCTCATGTACCTTAGGCTAGTCTCCAGCTTGCTATATAGTGGAGGATGACCTAGAATCTCTGATCCTTCTTCATCTACTTCCTGAATGCTGGCTTTCCAAGAGTGCCCATCATACCCAGCTTATTCAGTGCTGGGGGTAGAACTTAGGGCTCTGTGCCTTCCCACTCCATCCCCACCCCGCTTCAGTATACCAGGTCAACCCTCGATGGAATACTGGTCTATTAGAACTCTTTTTTTGAAGCAGGAAACACATTTAGTCTAACAAAATCTGAAACAGGATTTCTAAACTGCAGTTGCATTGCAGATGCTTCTATTTTAAGATTTAGAATTTCAGTACATCCCCCCCCCAAAGTAACCACCCATAAGTTTTACAACTTTATTAAGTTCTTCTACTGGTTCTTCTAGATTCCTGATAGATCTTCCTAGTAGAAGACGGTAAAGAACTTGAGGCCCTTCCAAACTTTTTTCTTTTTTCATGTCTTAGCACAAGCACGTTGTAAATTACTACATGAATTGCTTCATTTGATGAAGTCTGCAAAAGTCCAAATTATTATCCTCCCAAATACCAAAGGGCTTCTCAGTCTAGGCCCCAGGAGGCAGAGGGCTGGTTTGCCGTCCTCAGTGCTCCAAGGGAGCTACTGTAACCTGATGACTTCTGGGGAGGCTGTGAACTTGACAGCCTTCTCCT